TACCAGATGTTTGTACTTGGTGTCCTGTGGTCATTCCCAGCCCATCCCACCTTTCCTGCACAGCCTGAGTGCATTTTCCATCTGTAAATCCACTCTCATATCCTTTGCTGAGCAGACTTTCCAGTAAAGGAGTGCAGATGGGTCCTTCCTTAGCCTGTGATGGGAATAGCATTTCCCTTGCTGCCTCTGTGATTTGGGATGACTTCATCCTCTTGCTGGGACTCTGCTGCCACAGGAACACCCCTGACCCTGCACGAGGACCTGGCCTAGCTCACTGGGGCCTTTGCAGCTCACTTCTAATGGGAGAAAGGAGGTGGAAAAGTGGGAGACAGGGAAAGTGTAAATTTTTAAATTGTGTGACTTTCCAGTGTCCATTCAAGGTGCTGAAGAGGGTGGGCTGGGGGCTTCAGGCTGGAGATTGGGCTGTGTGAGGGTCCCACCGTGCCCTGGTGCCAAGGGAGAGAAAATAAATGAGTATTCCTGTCCTGAATTCATTGCTGTCCAAGCTCCCTGATCTGCTTCCTCTGGTGGGGAGCACTGAGCTGGGCACTGCCATAATTCTCTGTCCCTCTTGGGTTCTTTGGAGGCTGCCACATGGGCAGGAAGGTCAGAGAGGGGTGTCAAAAGGTGAATCCAGCTTCAGTCTCCTGTAGGGAAAGGGGCTGGGGGTCAGACCTGCCCTGTCCCAAGGCTGAGCTGGCAGAAGGGGACTGTCACTGCCGGTTCCATCCCCTTGAGCAGGGCTGGGAATGCTTTTTCCAGCTTGGAAGGGCTGTGCTGAGAGGCCACCAGCCCCGTACCAAACCCTGAGCCTCCATCACTGGTCCATGCAGGATGGTGTTGCTGTGGGGGGTCCATGGGTGGGGGTTTGTCCACAGCTCTGGTCAACTCCTGGTCCTGCTCGTTGTGGAGCTGAATCCTCCAGGACCCCCAGGAGCTGCTGTCTCTGAACCTGTTTCTCACTGCCTGTTCCCCTCCTTTCCTGTGCCTCTGCTTCCCACTTCTGGTACAGACATGTCATTCCCTGCCTTGAGCATCTCCCTGCCTGGGTTTGCTGTGCCTCGTGGGTTATCTTGGAGGGACTGCTCAGCACCAGGGTCTGCATCCCAGTGTGGAGACCCCAGACCCTCCCTTTGGCCTCCTGCCAACACCCCTGGGGACAGGTGACTTCCCCTTGGCTGGGGCCACCAAAGCAGCAGAGCCCTGCTGTGGGCCAGTGTGCACCTCAGGCTCTTTGGGACAGGCTCGTGGGGTTTTTGAGCTGCTTGTGCTGTGCCCAGCACCCAACACAAATCCTCTGGGGATCAATAAATCCCCAAAGATCGGGGTTTTGGAGAGCATCCATCCTGCTCCCAGCTCAGTCCTCTGTCCCCTGAGCTCCCTCCAGCTGCAGCCTGGACCTTCTGCTGCCATTTGCCCCCATGGGCTAAGCCAGAGCCACTGCCAACCCTGCTGCTGCTGGGTCAGTTGTGTTTCCCCAAATTTGCTTTCTCCACCTCTTCCCTCCCAGATCTCTGGTGGGACCCCACAGTGTGACCCAGTGGGTGTTTGAGGCCCCGTGCATGGACCTGCCCTTGTCCCCGCCCCTGGCTCTCCCAGCTTGGTGGCATTTAAAGCCCGTGTCCCCTCCCCTGGCTCTCCCAGCTTGGTGGCATTCAAAGCCCTTGTCCCCTCCCCTGGCTCTCCCAGCTTGGTGGCATTCAAAGCCCAGAGCTGCCTTGCAGTGCCCCTCCAGCTGGAGGCTCCCCTGTGCCCCCATGCACAGTCAGGGGTTGTGTCTGCACAGGGAATTTGGGGGGATCTCAGCCAAAGCAAGGCTGTGGCAGGGTCAGGGATCTGTCCAGCACAAAATTCCTTTGGAGCCCCTGCAGAGGCCCCGTCTGCCCCTCCTGCCAGTGAGGGGAGCTGCCAGGGAGGGGCCCAGAATGGAGCCAGGGCAAGGGCAGGACCGAGACCCCCAGCCCCAGGCAGGGGCGAGGAGGGGGCAGCTGCAGGTGGCCCACATGGGCACCACACCACTGGTGCTTCTCACCAACACTGCTCTGCCTCCTGCCAGGGCAGAGCAGCAGGAAGTTTGTCCAGATACTTTTGGATTATTTTGGGTTTTCCTTCCTCTAAACCACGGTGTGAGTTTTGGGCTGAGCGGGTGTTTACAGCACCCCCATGCTGCTGAGCTGCTGTCCCTGTCGCCCCAGTTCCCCCAGCTACCCAGCCCAGTGTCCTTCATCAGGCCCTGAATAACCTGGGGGGCTGCAGGGTGTCTCTGGAGGCTTGTTCTGCTGTGGTCCTAAGCCTGAATCTGCCAGGGACACCCATAGGGTCGGGAGCCTCTCTGGGGACAGGGTGAACAGTGGGGGACAAAGCAGAACCTCATTCTTTCCTGCAGAACCCTGGGCTGCCAGCCCCCACCCCTGACCCTAATGTGCCCTCCCAGTCTGGGCCTGGAGTCCTGCTCCTGTCCCGTTAGGGGCTCTCTGGGAGGGCCAAACAGAAAGCAGGCTCTGCTGCACACAACCTCGGCTGGAGCTGAAGCCCTGCTGGGTGTGTCTGTCCTGGCTCCTGCAGCCACAGCCCCATCCCCCGTGGGTCTGGTCCTGAGGACCCAACCCCTCTCTCAGCCCGAGTGCTGCCCCCCGTGCTGCTGGTAAAGCTGCAGGAGGTCCAGGGTCCACCAGGCCCCGGGGGTGCCTCTGGCTGGGCCAGGGGGAGGCTCTGCCCCCAGGTTCCTTCTCCCAGTTCCTTCATCCAAGGTGGGAAATCACCTGGACTCCCCAGCCTTGTTTCAGCTGGGAGATACTCCCAGCCCACCCTGCCTCAGTTTCCCCACCCACCACAATCCCAAAGCAGCTCTTGGGCTGCCCTGCTCCCCCTGGGGCGTCTCCTGAGCAGCCCTGCTGTCCCCACAGATCTTCTGGGAGGATGGGATCATGTTGGGGTACTGGGACCCCAGGAGCTCAGCCCTTGACTGTGTCCTCAGCTCCTTTCAGACGGTGAATGAGACAGTCCTGGACTCACCTCCTGCTGACCAGGTGGGGATGGGGACAGGCATGGGGAGGAGAAGAGGATGGAGATGGGCACCAAGAAAGGCTGGCAATGGGAATAGGGACGGGATTAGGGACAGAGGTGGGGTTAGGGACATGGACAGGGATAGGGATGGGGAGGGGATGGAGATGAGGATGGAGACAAGGATGGGGATAGGGACAGGGACAGAGCTCACTTCAAAACATGCTGTGCCAGCAGGGATTCATGTGGCACGGCCTGGTGCTGTCATCCTCCCTGGGGATCTGCTGGGCCCACCACTGCTCATCTGCCTGCTGCTTGTCTGGGGATGGGTGGGCACAGAGATGGGCTGGCACAGGGGTGGGCTGGCACAGGGATGGGCTGGCATGGGGATGGGCTGGCACAGGGATGGGCTGGCACGGGGATGGGCTGGCATGGGGATGGGCTGGCACAGGGGTGGGCTGGCACAGGGAGTGCAGGCCCCCTGACACCGTGTGTCTGTCACAGGCTGTGTGTTTGCAATGCCAGGCTCCTGGGGCAGCCATGTCTGGCACTGCTGTTTTGTCCCTGTGGCTGTTTTGAACTCCTTCATCTGCACTGGCCCCTCTTGCTATTCCCAGAATGTTTGGGATAAAGAAATGAGAGGGTGGAGGTTTCCTCCTCCTCAGCTTTTTGTTCCTCTTGGTGATTCCCCCTGCCCAGGCCAAAAGCCAAGGTTCTTGTGGGATCCTTGCTGTGGAAGCTGACAGGGCTCTGTGCCCCCTTCACAACTTCCCCAAGCTGGAGCATCCCCAGCTGAGCAAGGTGCTGCCGATTTTGGTGTGCCCCTTCCTCTACAACAACATCCTGATCTTCTACCCATCTAGAGTGGCTCAGGGCAAGGGTCAGGTGCCCCCACCACCCCGGTCCCAGGGGTCTCCCAGAGGGCTCCCCCTGGTTCTCCCCCTCCTCCCCACCCTCCTCTGCTGCTGCTGTGACTGTGCCTGGAGTGAAGCTGAGCTCGGCTGCTGCCACCACCCCCTCTTGCACTGCTCACCAGCTTCCTCTTCACATCCCCCTGCCCCAGTGCCCTGTGCTGCTCTGGCTGCATCCATGAGCAGCCCCCAGTGTCCCCCCTGCTGCCACCGCTCTGTCCCCTGTCCCCAGAGCAGCCCTCGCAGCAGGAGCAGCAGCCGTGGGTGATGGCCTCAGCCTGGCAGGACACAGCCACCGGCTTTCCCACGTCTGTTCTGTGCTGGGCACCCCTTGCAGGTGGAGAGCATCCTCTGTGATGTCTGCGTGTGCCAGGCTTGGCTGTGGGGCCACCTGAGCCCCACAAGAGCCCGAGCACCGTTGGCACTGCCGGGCTGGCCCTTGTGGGCAGCGCTGCCATCATCAGTGCCGTGGCTGTGGCCTTGCCCAGCCCCTGGTGGCTCTGGCTGCTCCCCAGGGATTCCCACTGGGCTGGGCCCGTGACACTGAGTGGGGTCTGGGCTGCAGGGCCTGGCAGGACGGGTCCTGGCAGCCTTATTGGGGTGGGCTCTGCTGACGGGTGTCCTGCAGCATCCCTCTCCCTGCTCCCTCTGCACCCAGTCCGTGCCTCAGCTCTCCCAGTGCAAACCAGCAGCGATTCCAGGAATTCGGGGTGCCCACACGGGACCCAGCAGTGTAAGTGTGCATGAGTCACGGTTAATGAGTAATTAAAATAGTTTGTGATGAAATTCCCGGGTAGGCCACGGGGGCCCGTGGTGCATGGAGCAGCCCTGCTGCTCCCCAGTAACACCATGAAACTTTAAATTAAACTGGAATAACGACGGGGCAGCTCTGGGCTCCTCGCTGCTGGGAGCAGAATCTGGGGGTGGGAGCACCTCTCCTCCCTGGAGCCTGGGGGGCACAGGAGGGAAACCAGGAATCCTCAGCTCGGTGGGATGGAGGACTTGGAGCACAACCCCTGAAGCCTCCCAGCCACCCACGCCCCAGGCTTGGGCAGGAACTGGCTCTGCCATGTGCATTTATTTCTTTGCAGGGCTAACAGGAAGGGTGGGAGGGTGAAGGTGTAGGGGGCTGATGCGGGTTGGTGGGAGCTCAGCTGGGGCTACACCAGCCCGTAGTAGCGCCGATAAGCCTCCTGCAAGCCGATCTGGTCGGCCAGCTCGTCGCAGTCGGGGTTGAGCTCGCACACCTCTCGCTTGGCCTCCAGCGGGTCCCGCGGGGCTCCCGAGGCGCTGCTGGGGACAAACGGGGCACCCAGGGGGTGTTGGGGGGCTGGGGCTGAGTCAGGAGCCCCCCCGGTCTGGGGCTGGATCCTCACCTGCCATAGCCGTAATTGCGCTTCTGCCTCTGCACCAGCTCGGCACTGGCACGTCTGGAGACAAAGGCTGCAGGGACAGGCAGGCTCAGGGGGCCGTGTCCCCTGTCCCCGGGGTCCTGTCCCCCATCCCCGGGGCAGTGGGGCCGGGGGTCAGGGGGGGTCCTGTCCCCCATCCCCGGGGCAGTGGGGCCGGGGGTCAGGGGGGGTCCTGTCCCCCATCCCCGGGGCAGTGGGGCTGGGCTCAGGGGGGCCATGTCCCCTGTCCCTGGGGCAGTGGGTCAGAGGAGCCGTGTCCCCTGTCCCGGGGTCCTGTCCCCCGTCCCCAGGGCAGTGGGGCTGGGGTCAGGAGGTCCTGTCCCCCGTCCCCAGGGCAGTGGGGCTGGGGTCAGGGGGTCCTGTCCCCCACCCCCAGGGCAGCCGCGGTCACTCACCTTCGGAGCTGGGCGAGTCCTGGGTGCTGGCAGAGCCATCGGCAGCTGCAGGTGACACGGAGGGGTGGGTGGGCTCACGTGGGGGGTCCTGCTTTTCCCTCCCAGGTGGGCTCTGCTCCCACCCCACTCCTTCTGGAGCTCACATCCCTCACTGAGACCCCCCCCAGTCTGCTGAAGGATGTACCAGTCCCTATCTCCCCGTTGCAGCCCCGTGCCCCCCACCCCAAAGCTCAGCAGTTTTCCCAGTCCCTTTGCTCCCTCCAGGGCCCTTCCCAGGGCACAGGATCACCCCCAGTGTCCCTGCCAGCCCTGGATTCCCCCGTACCTCTGCGGCAGAGGCCAAGGGTGAGCAGGGCCAAGAGGGTCAGCAGGACCAGGGACTTCATGGTGCCTCCCTGTGCTGGGCTGAGTGCAGCCCTGGCTCCCTGGGTGCCTTTATAGGGTCCTGTGGCCTTGGCAAGGGGGGGCCTGGCCTCACCAGGGTTATTTCCAGCACATCCGCCATGGCCGGAGCTGCTGGCAGAGGTGGCAATTGTGGTTTGGGATGAACTTGGTCCCCCTGTGCCCAGCCAGAGCCCACAAAGGGAGGGAAAAGTGGCCCCAGGCCAGGGGGGATTTGCTGGTGGGCCCAGCCCTGCCAGGCTGGCAGTGCCCAGTCCCCACTGGAACGGCTGATGGGGCACTGGGGGCTCCTCACTGTGCTCCCATCACCCAGTGCCCCGTCCCAGCTCCCACTGCTGCACTCCAGAATCATCTTCTGCGACACAGGGAGACTTTCCTGCCAAAACCTTGGGGTTTTCCTCCATGGCTCACTTTTGGGGGAGCAGCACGTGCTTCTTTCGGGCACTGCCACCCTATGTCCCCGGGGGAGGGTGAGCAGGTGCCTTGGTCTCTGCACAGCTCCTCCCTGCCACATGCCAGGGGCAGATGCTGCGTGGCCAGGGCACCCAGAGCCCTGAAGAACATTCCTCTTTCACATCCTGACCACTTTCTGATCCTGTAAATCCCAGCCCTGTCTTGGGAAGCGGAACTGGAGGCTTTGGGGCAGAGGGCAGACAGAACTGCTGAAGCAGAGCCTTTGTCAGACAAACCCATAAAGTACAGAGTACGTGGGCCAAGAGCACAGCGGGAGCCAAGCTGGGAACAACAGCCCCGGTTTATTGAGATTCCAGCAGAGCCAGGGGAGGCAGAGGGGAAACTCTGCAGCTCTAATTGCTCACAGAGGTTGGGGCGAGGTGGAGCAGCCGCTGCCCCTCCCCAGCTGGGCACAGGGAGAGCCCACCGAGCCTCGGTGGCTGCTGGACCCAGAAGCTCTCAGTGCTCTGCAGGTGCAGGGGACTCTCCTCACTCCCTGCCCAGCCCCAGGACAGCCTGTCCGTGCTGGGGGCACACGTCACTGGTGGGGCTCTGCCAGGGAGATCCTGGGAGCTTTGGCTTCCCCAGCCCGCAAACAGAAGAGGCAGGAACAACTCTGGGTGGGGAAAACCAGTCTGGCTCTAGAAGGTTCCACAGGAAAACATTAAAATGCTGTGCTACAAACCCACAGAGTGGAGGCAGGGCTGTTCCAGCCTCTGCACAGATCCCTCGATACCTCGGGCTGCTGGGAGGGGACCAGGGCTAGAAAATAACTTTGAGAACAGAATGAATGGTAACAAGGAAATCAGGGCAGCAGCTGCTGCCACATCTGCAACAGGCAGTGGTCTGAACACAGAGACTGAATGAACCTGCAAGCACAGGCAGGAGCCCTGGCTGTGACCCACTCGTGCTGCTGCTCGTGGGCTCCTCAGGCCTGGGCACAGCCTGGCCTGGGGTTTAAGGCACTGAATTTTGGCTAATGCACAACTAAAACAGCTACAATCCCCCCAAACGTGGCTTTGGAAACTGGAATCAGGCCTGTCACAGCACTGAGTGGAGCAGATGAGAACACAGACAGACTTTGTGGCACTCCCCTCTAGCTGAGTGGGAAACAGGGAATTGCCATCCATTTGCAAAGATCCCAAATTTTTTTTTGTTTGTTTCTCCACCAAATCTGATCAAACTGTGCCAGTTCAGAAGCTGTTTCAGTCCCTCTGCAGTCTCCAGTGGCCTGATGGGCTGATTCTCAGTTTGGGTTCTGCACACACCTTGTCCCATCAGTGCTTTGGGACGATGAACTGTCCCAGCAGAGCCTGTGGGACATCCTGTGGCCTCACTGGGGCTCCTGGAATGTCATGATGAGTTCTCGTTGCTCCTTACTGATTGCCTGGAAGGAACACAACCCACAGAACTCAGCATGAGGCTTCTGCCACCCTGCCACACTCAGGGTGGAATGTGTGGCACACACTGCTGTCCCCTGCAGGTGCAGAGCACAACCCCCTCACCTCCCCTGGGACCACTCCACATCCCACCCACTGCACAGGGAAAAGCACCTGAGACCTCCAGAGACAATGTCCACACCTAAAGTTTCAGCAGAACTTGGCTGCTGGGGAGGTCCTGGAGAAGTGGAGGGTTTGAAAGTCATTGCAGGCCCCACTGAGCCCCGCTGCAGTGGGTGCTGCGAGGAGGTTGGGTTGGGTTGGGCTGGGCTGGTTTGGGTCTGGTTTGGTTTGGTCTGGTTTGGGTTGGTCTGGTCTGGTTTGGTTTGGGTTGGTCTGGTTTGGTTTGGTCTGGTGTGGGTTGGTTTGGTCTGGTTTGGGTTGGTCTGGTCTGGTTTGGTTTGGGTTGGTCTGATTTGGGTTGGGTTGGTCTGGTTTGGGTTGGGTTGGTCTGGTCTGGTTTAGTCTGATTTGGGTTGGTCTGGTCTGGTTTGGGTTGGTCTGGTCTGGGTTGGTCTGGTTTGGTTTGGGTTGGTCTGGTTTAGTCTGATTTGGGTTGGTCTGGGTGGGTCGGGTGTGTTTTACCTGCCAGGCCTGCTGGCGAGCCTGGATCAGCTGCTGCAGCTCTGCAATCCTGCTCCTCCCCGCAAGCACGGACTCGGCCAGGCTGCTGCTGCGCTCCTGCCGCTGGCGCAGCGCCCGGCGCAGGTGGGCACGGTGCTGCAGCAGGGAGGGCACCAGGGCGCCGCGCACGTCCTGCTCCGGGATCCCGCTGGGCCGCCTGCAACGCAGCGACGCAGCACTGCACACCCTGCCCTGCTGCTTTCACATCCAGGGGCTTGGGACAGCTGCAAAAGGCAGCTCAGACACAGCAGAACTGAGACTGGAGCCAAGCAGCACCGCAAGATTGGTCAGCAGGGAAGTTATGTGAGAAGTGGAAAGTAAGGACAAACAGAACAACGGTCTGTGTATTGAGGCTTGGAGAGAATAACTCCCTAAGCTAAAGAAAGTATATCTAGAGATGATAGGAAGTTCTGAGCTCAATAATGGAGCTCTGTGCATTGTGTTTTAATGCTTACAAGCAGATATTGTATTCAAAATAAGCAAACTTTTTTTAACCGAAGGGATGTTTGCTTATAGTGGTTGGACAGAACCACTGTCAATATGCTTTTGCTTTGTGTGATTGGTCAAAAAACTTTTAAAATAAGTTGTAACATTGAGTTCTTTGGGTGCTGCCAAGGATGTGAGCTACTGGCATCTTCCCATTGTCCTAACCTTGTAATGAGAGTGATGCTGGAAAATAAACAGCTCAAGATGTGTTCCCCAGCAGTGCTGTCCCATCTGTGGTTTGTACAGACCCCTGGCCAGTGACACTGCCCAGCACTGCTCCCACACAGCTGCTGAACTGCTGCCAGCTGGGATCAGCTCTGTGGCTCCCACAGCTTCCTCTGGCACAGGGAACTGAGCACAGCCAGAGCAGGGACCCCAGAGTGGAGCCCCTGGGAGCTCTTCCCCAAGGCTGGCCCTGAGTGGGTGCTTGGAACAGGCAGGATGTCATCACCCCCTCAGCACAGGAACACAAAATCTTGTGTTTCCAGTCCCAATCCCCAGTCTGTCTCCCAGTGTCTGCTGAGGCCCCGAGCCAGGGACACAAAGAGCAGGCAGGGGACTCTGCTGTTGGACAGGTGCTGTGCCCAAAACTGCCTGTCAGCCCTCTGCATTGTCCCCCCAGCTCAGTGGCAATGACCTCCCTGCACTAAGGAAGTGAATGGAAATGGATCCTGGGCCCAGAGAAGCACAGATTCAACTGATTTTTGTGTGTTTTAGGCCCAGTGACACTGCTGTAAAGATACATTTCAGTACCCTTTCAGACCCTCCCTTGCAGCACGAGGCCAAGAGGACACAGAAGACAGCCCAGGAACTGCCTGCTGCCCTTGCAGGAACACGACCCCCACCCCTGGCCATCCATACCACGCTGGCTCCTCCCGGTCCTTTGCCTCCTCCACCATCTTATCCAGGGAACTGAAGAGTTCCTCCAGATTCCCTTCGTTTTTCACCTCCTGGATCTCCTCCTGTGAAGGAAGGACACGAGGTGAACAAACAGGCACCAGTCTGCTTGTGAGCCTTCGCTGGTCAGGGAACCAGGGGATTGTCTGGGTTCAAAGGGACCTTAAAGCACATCTCATTCCACCCTCCACTATCCCAGGTTGCTCCAAGCCCTGTCCAACCTGGCCTTAAATTCTTTCAGGGATCCAGGGGCAGCCACAGCTTCTCTGGGCACCCGTGCCATGGCCTCAGCACCCTCACAGGAAGAATTCCTTCCCAATATCCCATCTGTCCCTGCCCTCTGGCAGGGGGAAGCCATTTCCCCTGTCCTGTCACTCCATCCCTTATCCAAAGTCCTTCCAGCTTTGTCCTGGATGAAGAGCCTGGAATCCTGGATGATGAACACCCTGGGAATCACCATTCCTGAGGACATTTAAGAGATGTGTGGATGTGGCACTTAGGGACATGGTTTAGTGGTGGCCTTGGCCGTGCTGGGGAAATGCTTGGACTGCACAGTCCCAGAGGTGTTTTCCAACCTGAATGATCCTACAGCTTCTTCTGGGGAAGACAGAACTCTGGAGAGCAGCCTCAGCTTTCTGCTTTACATTTAGAAAATGTATTTGCTGCCCTTAATATCAACCTGTAAAGCACTTTTCCACCGGGCTTTGCACCCCCTTTTGGGCACTCCCAACCCCTCTGCAGCCCCCCGGGTCACTCCCCGCTCACCTTTATGGACGCCTGCAGCTGGGAGATGAACTGATCGTAGATGCTCCTGGTCAGCTGCGGCTGCAGCTTGTAGAAGCAGCGATAGCAGCTGGCAAACCTCTGGTAGCTGCAAGGAGGGCAGGATCAGGAGCGGCTCACGGTAGGACCGGGTCAGGGCCAGGCCCAGAGCCGGCTGCGGGGCTGCTCCCGGGGCTCAGGGGTCCCTCCCCGCCCCGCGCGACCCCGCTCCCGCCTCACCTCCCGGCGGCCACCAGCTTCTCCAGGAACGTGTCCACCACGATGCTGAACAGCTGGGAGCGCCCCGGTGTCTCCGCCGGGGTCGGGTCTTCTCCGCCATCGGCGCCGCCGCCCTCAGCCCCGCCCGCGCCGCCATCGCCGCCCGCCGCCGCCATGGCCCGGCGCGAGCCGCCGCCGCCGCTGCCCATTGGCTGAGGCGTCGGGCCCCGCCCCCGCCGGCCGCCAGCGCGGGAACGGAGCGCGGGAAGGGAGCGCGGGAAGGCGGCCGGGGAACGGAGCGCGGGAACGGAGCGCGGGACGGCCGCAGGGGAACGGAGCGCGGGGACGGAGCGCGGCTTGTGCCGCTCGGCGGGGTCGCCACACCCGGCCGCTCCCGGTCCGAACCAAACCGCGACAAAAACACCGCGCTAAGAAGCTGCCGCCTCCCGGAGCGGGGCTGCGCCCGGCCCCGAAGCGAAGCAGCGTGACAAACCGTCCTTCTCTCCCCAGTGGAAATGCCCGCCCTGCCCTCCAGCGACTTTGAATGAAATAAAACGAGCAAGCCTGAAGAATCCAAGGAGAAAAGAAGAAGCAAAGTTCAGCTCGGTTAGAGAATTAAAAAAGCGACATTTCCCATTAACAGCCAAGCAGGAGCCAGCCCGCGCCCTGGGGGCGGCTCTGGGTCACAGCCGCTTACAGGCATTCCACGTGCTCCAGCCGGTTCTCCCCGGCTCGCTCAGACACCGAGCGGCCACGCAGTTCTCAGGCAGCTCACGTCCCTCTGCTAGCCCTAGTCCTAGTCCAAAGGCTAAGGGTGAAACCCTTTTTGTGACACGACAAAAAGTAGCAGCTTCCCCTGGCGTGGAGAGTCGTGTGCTTTTAAACGCAGGCACCAAACTGAAGGTCTCTCAAGTTTATTAGTTGTCAAGAACGTTGCTGGTTACGAGAGGAACATTAAGTTTGACAGTGTCTCCCCACACCGGTGCTGCCGCCCCTCTGTCCGCACACTGGGACTGGCCCTGCTGCACCTGGCAGAGGTTGATGGTTATTGTTCCTGCTAAATTAGTGTTGACATCCTGCTGCCTTGTGATTTGGGGTGCTGTTCTGCTTTTCAGAGCAGAATCTATTATTAGAGCAAGAGCCGACTGGTGTCAACTTTTAAACAACAAACAGGTGACAGGAGCAGGTGCAGAAGGTGCTGCTCCAACAGCTCCACCAGTGGCTCCAGCACCCAGTGCCTTTCTGAGCACTGCAAGAAACAAAACTGGGATGAAGAGGCTCTGATGACTCACCTGCAGCCCCAACTGCACCTTAGAATCAAGCCCTGCCCTTAGCAGAGAAACCTCTCCCACCTCAGCAGCAGCTTTAGCACCCTCCATTTCCAGCAGGCGTGGTGGCATGCCCAGTGCCTGCTGGGCAGGGACAACACTGGCACGAAGGGCAGAGCCACACCTGGTGAATCCCCTCAGGAAGACACAGCCAAGTGGAGCCCAGCAACAGCCACAGGTCAGCAGGATCAACACTTCAAATTCCTGGTTATGGCAGAAGGGGAATGGAGGTGGTGCACTCTGTTGTGTGCAGGTGCACCCCAAACCCCCCGGATGTGGCTAACCAGGACGAGCACCACGTGTGGGCTGGCAGCATGAAAGGCAAATCTCAACCACCAAGAGCAGCAGAGTGCAGTCAAACAACCCCCTCCCTCCCCTCCCCAAAAAGCAGCCTCTGGTTTCATCCCCTGAAGTTTTCACCTGGTAAAATACACAGACCGTAGCTCAGGCTTCTGATCCAGCAATTGTGCAAAACATTATCCCTGCCCTTCCCAAACTGGAAGAGCAGAATTTAAACTCGTGAAGTGAACCATCACTTCTTATTCAATATAAACATGCCTGTCAGGTTTGAACTGGATCAAAAGCCAGCACAAGGTTTCTCCTTCCCCACGTCCCATCTAATTGTAGCTCAAAGCCCGTTCAGTTCTCATCCAGCTGCTGGCAGCACCACGATCAAACACTTCCAAACTGCATTTTTGGGCTTAAACTAACTAAGGTGGGAAGTGGCCACAGCCACTCTGAACATGCAGGATTGACACACTGAACGAGGCCACAGGACAACCATTCAGCTCCCCAGAAATCAGAATAAGCTTCCCTAAAATAAAAAAATTAAATTACAACAGATTAAAAACACAGGTTAGGTGTCAAAACTGCCTGGTGTCAAATCAGCTAATTCCAAACAGCCAGCTCAGCTCCTGACTTGCTATCAGCCAGCTTGCTGTTTGGAGGATGAGAGACAGGGAACATTTTCCAAGAATGTACAAAACAAGTATGTAGATCTATTCAAAACGCAGGAATCAGGTCTGAAGTGGTTCCAGGTTACTCTTGTCTCACATCTTCTAGAAATAAAAGCAGGTAATTGGAGAAAGTCACTTGTCTATTTTCTGCTTCCAGTTTCCCACAGCACAATTGCCACTAGAGACATCCCAGCAGAGGGCCCTGCTGCAGGCCGTGAGACTCCTTGGAAGTTTGGCAAAGATGAAAATAATTTAAAGAGAATAAACTGGCTTTTTGCTTAAGCCAGTAAGTCTTTAATTTAAAAAAAAAAAGGAATTACTAACTTGCCAGGATGCATTCACACACCTGGAATGGACTGTTCCAGGCAAAGAGCACTGCCAAAGGTCACAGTTGAAGCGAAACCAGCAGCAGACCATTGCATGACACTCAGATCTAAAGAGGTGAAGTGCAGTTGCTTTTGCATCTGCCTTGTGCTGTGAAACCAGCCAGAGACAAAGGCACAGCAGCTGCGTTGCATCCCAGGCTCTCCCCTGCAGCAGTCCAAACTCAGAGAGTTCACAGGAAGGTTCTCCTCCCCCAGCTGCCTCTACCAGTGCCTTGAGTCCACCAGCTCTGGGCGCAGGCTCAGCTTCTTCAGCGTTTCATAGCCCACCACGATGACGATGGTGGAAGGAGTGGCCGAGATGATGCGGGCAGAGAGGCCTTTAGTCAGCCCCCAGGGACCTTCCTCTGCAATGAGCTGTTTGAAGGTGAGAATGATGGAGCTCTTGCCTTCCACCTGCAACGCCAGAACAAACATTGACTGAGCTGCCAGACTCCATGCTGAGCTGCTCTGGGGCTCTGCTGCGACTGAACACTCTGGAGACAACAGATCAGCCAGTCCAACAGCCTTGAGTCTCCAGAACTCCCTGAGGAGGGGAGCAAAAAAAGCACAAAGGAGGCAGCTTCCTTCCAGCTTTCCTTAGGAGGAGGCAGCAGGAAGCAGCACCTCTCCCTTTCTGAAGGAAAAGCCTGTCTGAGCAGGCCAGGCTGGCACTGCCAGCAGAACAGGGAGCCTGGGCTCCTCTTGCTAATGCTGAGGGCCAATTAAGCAGCTGCTACGGAGGATGAAAGGCCCAGGGAGAGCAGGGAAGCAGCTCACCTGAAACCACAGAGATGAGAGAGCCCAGCCCGAACCCCACCCTGCTCTGTGCCAAGCACGCTGAGCTCTTACCTGGACCCGAGCCCTCACCACATCCATGGGGTTGGTGAGAGTGGAAGCTGTGGCAGCTGCAAGGGGCCCTGATATCGCCTGCAGGAGGAGGTGGGGACAGTCTTTAGGAGTCAAACTCGAAAGCTGTTCTGGGAACAGGAGAGAAAGGAAAGTTTCAGACCTTCAGTGGCTGCTGATAATTTCCTTAGCTGCACCCCCTAACTCCAGCTGATTTGCAGTGGGCAGAAGCCTGCCAGCTCCTCCCACAGAATCTCCAAGTGGTGCTTCCTACACCAACCAGAAAGCTGGCACAGCACAGGGAGCAGGACTCATCACAGTGCTGGCTCCAGGACACTCTCCATGCTTTGTCCCACAGCCTCCCTCAGCTGCCACTCTGGCTCCCAGACCTGTGGGGCAAACTGGACAGAATCAGCTTCCACATCCCCAAAACAGGGAATGAAAATATCCACCCTCTTTAGAAGGTGGAGGAAGCCTTAAGACAAGGCTCCACTGGGAGGTGTTTGCAGAGATTTGTACAGAAAGCTGCCACCACTGGGCACACTGTCCAGGAGATTCCCTGGCATCCCACTGTGGATCCCTCAGGAGACAAGCACCATGTAGTGCTCATCCCAGATCTCCTCCCTCTGCTCCTGCTGCCTGGCCAATAGGATTTGAATCTCCCACACTTTCATTGGCTGAAGTTGGACAGAAGAGTGCTCAAAGGCCCCATTTTTTGGACTATGAGGAAGCCTGGCTGGCAGGAGGGACGGAAGCAGCTCTGTTTGAGACCTTGAACACTGACTGGAATCAGGGCCAGCAATGTCCTTTGAACCCAGGGAGGGTTCAGTGACCCTGGCTGCTGCTCCAGGGACAGAGGACTGGGAAATGCAGACAGAGCAGATTCATTGACAGCTGGGGCTTATGTTTCCCAGCATCTCAATTTCCACTGAGAAGACAGGGAAAGAGCAAACACCTGGAAGCCGAGAGCTCTGGTCTCTCCATATCAACTGCCTTTTCTCACATGCCCTCCTCTGAGCCCTTTTGGCATGAAAATCTTACAGTTAGTACACTGGGTTTTGGTGCTATAAACTGCTGACATGGAGACTGATGGGAGCACTCCCACAAAGTACAGACCAACATGCCAAGCTGCCACTGCCATTTAAATGCAGCCTGGATGCAGAACCAATGCTTCCTCTAGCTACCAGAGGAAAGCACACAGGACCCTTTGAGACATCTGGATTTTGAAGAACAGGTGACCTCCAAGATGTACTTTAGGCCCAGTACATAAAAACCCAAACTGCTCATTACCACCGCCTTTTGGCAGAAATTAGGTAACCAGACTCCTAAAAACCATGTGGAAAGTTGCATGGCAGAAATCTAAAGGATCATCAGAGGTAGAAATAAACCTTAGCTGGCCAATACCTTTAGCCTTTGGAAACATCCCAAGGAGTACAAGAACTGAGCTAGGGAGAAAGAACTTTCTACTGAGTGCAGTTTTCCATCACAAGACTCAGTGCCAATTTTAAAGTTGCCAAAACTGAAGCAACACCTGACAGAAATCCAGGGAAGATTTGGCCCTTGTCTCTGTCTGTTGTTTGGTTTTGCCATGAGATTTGTGGCTCTAAAAGTCCCTTTGCCATCTATGAGATTCCTGAGTTCAAATGAACTGAAAGATGAACTATACTTACATGGTGGCTCCAAAACTCTGCCTTCCTCACTCCTGTGGAGAAGGCACTATTTGGGATTAGTGGAAAAGAAAGTTAAAGCAGATGCATAAAGCCCCACTTGCCTGGAGCCATCCAGTCTGAAGTCCTGGAGCACTTGAACCCCTTGTTCTGCATTGAAACACTGCTGCCCTGTTAAAGCTTCCACCCAACATGTACAGAATTCCCACACAACCAGATGCAGCTCCTCAGCTCAGGACAGATTCTGCTCCCACCCCCAGAGAGAAAGCAAATCACTCTGAATCCACAGTGTCAAGAGTCCATCCTCCATCCGAGGGGCTCCTGGCTCTCCTGGGATAGGACACATTTGAAGCCTCCTTTCACTTACCAGCATAGAAGTGGTAGAAGGGCCACCAGACCGCACTGTTGGGAATATAAGTGAGCAGCGAGGCCACATAACCCCGGTAGAAGCCTCTAAAACCGTCGGCCTTGAAAATCTGTACAATGATGTCCTTGGTTTGGCCAAAGACCAGCACACGCTTGCCATCTTGGTTCTGCACCTTGAACCTGCCCATGCTTTCTCCCTTCCTCTGCATCATGAGGTGCTGGGAGATGACATCGATGGGCACCGTGATGCTCTGGGCCACCAGCGAGGCCGAGCCGCCGGCCACCAGGGACTTGACAGCGTTGTTGTTGTTGTAGCGCGACACGTACTTGCGAGTGAGCTCGTAGGTCGTGACGTAGCACTGTCCTGAGATCAGGGTGAAGGTGTTCACCAGGAAGCCACGGTAGAGCCCAGCGGTCCCTTCTGTCCGCAGGATTTTCACAAAGGCGTCGAAGGTCCCGTTGTACAGGCTCTTGCCCTTCTGAACCTGCAGGCGCGTGCGGATGAGCGTGAAGGGGTAAACGCTCACCCGGATCATCATGGTCATGCAAATCCCAAACACGTAGAATTTCCTTTTGTCCAGGTGCTCCCACTCAATGATGGGGATGTTGCGTTTGTCTTCCATGGCTCCTTGGGGTCAGGAAGGAGAGGTCCAGATCTCCTTCAAAGGTCCAGAGCAGATCCAGGCCCAGCCTTCCAGGCTTGACCAAGCAGACTGCAAGTGCTGGCACCTGAAATGAGAGACCCCTTGAGCAGAGGACAAAGCCCCACTCGCTACAACCGCCCACATCACCTCAACCCTGGCTGGCTCTCCTCGAGCACACAGCAAGCCCTTGCACAGCATCAGGCAGAGGGATTGTAACCTCCAGAGGCAGGGCCCTACCATGTGCCTGATGGTGACACCTTCTGATGTCACTGTGGCTGTTTTCTGAGCTCCAGCAGCAGCTCTCACCACAGCCCAGACTGCTCTGTGGAAATGCAAAGCTCCTGTGCTTTCAGAAGCAGATGAGCACCACTCCAGCAGCACACACACCTTTTAATGGGCACGCAAGATCAGGGATGGCCAATGAAAGCAGCTTCTCCCCAGTCATTCCAGGTCTGTCATGCTCCCAGGTGTCAGGACATCACTTTTCAGTTCCAGGATCTGTACAAAGAAGAAAGTGACAAGTCCTTTTGTGTTCCTAGACTCCCTGCATGAATTAAACCCATTTCTTTGGGCACTTTCATTCTTATCTTCCTAAAGCTGGAGGGTGATGAGAAGGTGAAAAGAAGAACAACAATGGGAAAACAAGGCAAGACAGCCATGTAAGAGTCTCCACAGTGATGACCAAGGTCCTGGAAAGAAAGTGTTAAATTACAGCCCAGGATCTCTCTGCCGAGCTGCTTGTCAGCTACATGAGCAAAGTTCACCCTCCCTTCCAACACTCCATTGTTGCTCCAGGTCTGACAACCCCCCTTCCACTGCTGGCTGTGCTCAGGGCACCAGGAATGGGGAGGATGAGGAGGGAGGGGCTGGTTCAGCCTCCCCCAGCCCCAATTGCTGCAGCTCATCACCATGTCCCAGCAGGCACCAATTGCTTCTCCACAACCAGGCTCCTGGTACTGTCAGCTGCTGTAATTAGTAAATTAACTTGCTGCACGATTAACCAAGCTTGGGCTAAGGGAACCTACACACAGGGCCAGGCAGCATGAGAAGCACAGCTCAGAGAATCACCCAAAACATGGAGCAGTTCACTGCTGGGAAGGACTTACTTTCACATCAAATTTAAAAAAAAACAAAAAACAAAAAAAACCAAAAACCTGGGGTGTCTGGGTGGCTGAACTTTGGGAAAGGCTCAGCTGCAGCTGGATCATAACTTGTATTCCAGTGGCAGTGTGTGCCCAGGCACGAGCTGAACTGCTGGAGAGCAGAGCTAGAACAAGAAACAGGAACAGGAACAAGGGAGCCAAAACCTTGATCTGAAAACAGATTCACCAGTTGAGAACTCAAAGGGATGGGCAGTCACCACCACACACTGATCTGGGGGCACTTCACATTACCAAGGCACAACATGGAGGAGCTCCAAGGGAGAGGGACTTGGGACCAGGGATGGAGTGACAGGACAGGGGAATGGCTTCCCAGTGACCAAGAGCAGGACTAGATGGGATATTGGGAAGGAATTGTTCCCTGGGAGGGTGGGGAGGCCCTGGCACAGAGCAGCTGTGGCTGCCCCTGGATCCCTGGCAGTGTCCAAGGCCAGGCTGAACAGGGCTTGAAGCAACCTGGGACAGAGGAAGGTGTCCCTGCCCATGGCAGGGGTTGGATGAGATGGCCTTTAAGGTCCTTCCAACCCAAACCAGCCTGGGATTCTTAGGGAAATGTCTCAACACTTCAGAATTCACACAGGTCAGAGACATTCTGTTAGTAAAAAAAGAACTGGAAGTTGTTTACCTCTGGCACAGAGAAGAAATTGCAGTTATGAAATTAAGGCAGATGAGGGGTGGGTGTCCCATTAAGTGACCATTTCATTGCCCATTGGCCAACAAAATATTTGCTGAACAGGAGCAAACAGCATTACAGGCTATCACAGCTCCTGCAGGTGGACAGGGGAGTTAAAAACACCAAAAAAACCCAGCTTTTTACCATGGTAAAGACAGCTACACTTCACCCTGACCATTAAGGCACAACAAACACCACAGCCTGGATTGCTTTAGTTACAGCCTTACTGGGTTTGCTAATACTGACATGATTTGACACGGAAAGCTTCCTGCACAGGAATTATCTGTGCATAGCACCTACGAAAACATGACTTGGTTACTGTTAAGAGTCCCACTAGCTTAATATTTCATTAAAAAAATTAAAATAGTCTAGCCAATATGATTCCCTGGTGAAGCCTGAGGGTTTAGTCCATACTCCAAATTCCTCTGCCACCCAGGGATGAAATGGAGCTCCCCACAAAGGAAAGGGAAGGGCTGCCTGCAAAAAACATTCTCATTACTGCAATATGGAAAACAAAACAACAATAATAATAATTTTAAAAAATTCTTGATCTTTATGTAGTTTTATGTGCTCTAGTGCTTTGGGTTTAGAATTTAAGCCACAACTTCTTAAGGAAACAGCTGTACTTTTCTGGACTCTCACCAATAACTCCTCTCATTGGGGATCTGAATTAGACAAAGTCACTTTAACCCCATGGCTCTGAGGCACTCAAAGTCCCTCCTGTGTGGAGGAAGGAAGGGATCCTGGCAGCTCCAGGGATGACCAGCATGGCTGCAATTCTTATTCTGCCAACATAAAGAGTTTTACTCAGAGCATTAAATCTTCCAGAAATTTAGACCACGGCCTTGCTCAGGGATCCCATCACACTCATTAAGCAACTCTCTGATGATCTTTCAAGGAATTTTAGGGATACTGATATAAAAGTAGTGGCTGCATCTCCTCAGAACTGACCTGCCCTCCAAAACAAGATACAAGCACACCACAGCTCACACATCCTTAAACTCTGGAGCAGCTTCCGTGCCAAAGCCACCCCTCAGTGGCTCCTTCCCACCGTGCACAAATGCACAAACCAGCATTTCTTCAACTTCTGCCTGGAAATCCAAGCAGGGGGTACCAAGCAGGGCATCCCTGCTCCTGCTCTCTCATCTGGGCACAGCCTCAGTCTCCTACACACAGAACTCAGTATGAACCCCCTCAGTTCATGTCCTTTAATGCCACCCTGTCAGTCTGGTCCCCAAAGCGCTCGTTGCTGCAGCTGGAGCTAAAGATGATTCTCTGGCAAACACAGGCAGGGCCTTTGTGTGCCCCGGGCAGGGATGTGCCCTGCCCAGCATGCTAATGCCTCAGCAGCGGCCTGGGAACCATCTGCAGCCAGCCCGAGGCTGCCTGGCACCTCCAAGAGCACAGAAACACAGAGCAGGCCGAGCTGGACAGAGCCCAGCAGGGGCCAGCTCTGGAGTGAACGGCCTGTTCGGGGATGGAACCTTGACCTTGGTGCTGTCAGCACCACGTCCAGCTCACCCAGCTGAGCTGGGGCACCACGTCCAGCTCACCCAGCTGAGCTGGGGCACCACGTCCAGCTCACCCAATCCACTCACCCAGCTGAGCTGAGGCACCACGTCCAGCTCACTGAGCTGAGCTGAGGCACCATGTCCAGCTCACCACATCCAGCTCACCTCATCCAGCTCACCACACTGAGCTGAGGCACCAAGTCCAGCTCACCACATCCAGCTCACCACATGCAGCTCATCACATCCAGCTCACCACACTGAGCTGAGGCACCCCGTCCAGCTCGCCGAGCTAAATCCGCTCCTCACACTCACCCCGCGGTGGGAGGCGATCCAAGCCCTAGAGGGAGGCAGTCCTGCTCTAACCCCAGCCCCAGTGACAGCCCGCAGCCCCCGGGCCAGCTGTGGCCCTGTAAGCGATGTGGCAGCGGCGCTCCGATGACAGCGCTGCCCTCCCCAGCACCACCCCCGCGGGCAGGAGCCCCCCGCTCCCCCCCGGCTGAAACCCCCACCTCCGATCGCTGCCACAGCAGCTCGGCCGCGCTCCGGGGCAGAGAACAGCGGCACAGCTCGCTCCGGGATGCGCTCAAGGTCACTGCCGGGCCAGACGCGTCCCCAGCCCCGCGGCTCCGGTGGCGGGGTGTCCCCACTGTCCCCAAGCCAGCGTTACCGCTGCAGCCCCGCGGTCTCCGGCCGCTTCCCGTCCACCCCGGGGAGGGCTCCGGTCTCTGCCCTGGGGAGGGTCCCTAGACCCTCCAACTCCTTTTCCCGCGGCCGTTCAAGCCCCGTCCCGCCTGCCCCGGGGGTCTCGCCGAGGGGGCTCCGGGCCCTTCCCCGTGGGCCCCGGGACCCTCCGGCCCTTTCTCCCGGGTCCTTCAAGGCCAAGGGGCCTCACACCAACCCCCTGCCCCACCCCGCTCTACGTGCACCCGCCGCCCCCTCTCTCCCACCGCCGCCCTCCCGTCCAGCCGCGCAGCCTCCACACCTGCCCGGACCCCGCTCAGCCGCCGCCGCCCGCGCCGGGCCGGGCCGGGCCGGGCCGGGCCACCACCGTCAGGCCCTGCCGCACCGCTGCTGGCCCAGGCCAGGCCTCTCCCCGGCCCGCCGCAGGCCCGGCCCCGGCAGCCGCTCACCTCAGGCCGGCGGGACGGAGCCCCGGCGAGCCCCCGGCCGGGCCGGCCCCGCCGCCCCATGGCCGCTCCCCGGCCGGAAGTCACCGGCGGCGTCAGCACCCGAGCGCCGCCGCCATCTTGGGACCGGGCAGAGGTCACACCGGAAGTGCTCACACACTTCCGGCCCGGAGTAAAGAGGGCGGCGGGGGGAGCGCGCCTTAAAGGGACCGCGCCGGATTTCGGCTCTTAAAGGGCCAGTACTCCTCAGCCCCGTGGGCTGGTCCCGCCTGCTGGAAGGGCCGGGGCGCGGCCAGGAGGGGGAAACAGCACGGAGGCACCCACAGGAGGGAGTGATGGGCCGGTGTGAGAGAGCTGTCCCTCACTCTCTGCTCTCCCTGCCCCTCGCTGCACATGCAGGCTGCACAGGAGCGTGTCCCTGCACACCCAGGGGTGTCCTGCACACTCACATGTCCCTGCACACCCATGTGTGTCCCTGCACACCCAGGGATGTCCCTGCACACCCAACATGTGTGTCCCTGCACACCCAGGGGTGTCCCTGCACACCCAACATGTGTGTCCCTGCACACCCAGGAGTGTCCCTGCACATCCACACGTGTCCCTGCACACCAGGGGTGTCCCTGCACACTCACACGTGTCCCTGCACACTCATGTGTGTCCCTGCACACCCACGTGTATCCCTGCACACCCACACGTGTCCCTGCACACCCACATGTCCCTGCACACCCAACATGTGTGTCCCTGCACACCCACATGTCCCTGCACACCCACATGTCCCTGCACACCCAACATGTGTGTCCCTGCACGCCCACATGTCCCTGCACACCCACGTGTATCCCTGCACCCACACGTGTCCCTGCACACCCAGGGGTGTCCCTGCACACCCAACATGTGTGTCCCTGCACACCCAGGGATGTCCCTGCACACCCAACATGTGTGTCCCTGCACGCCCACACGTGTGCACACGCGTTCCCCCGGCCCAGGCCTCGCTCGTTGCCCCCAGGCCCCCGGGGCTGCTGCACGGACCCAGCAATGCAGGACCTTGAGTTTTCTTTTTTTAATAAAAATACCAAAGAGCAGGACAAGGTACGGCTGGTTTGGCTTTAAAAAGGCAGATCAAAGACTCTGGGGACGGGCTGGGGGCACGGCCAGGGAGAAGGGGGCAGTGCCGGGGGGGAAACGAGGATGGGATCATGCAGCATGAGGGGCGGCTGGCAGCGCGGGGAGGGTGGCACTGCAGGGTGGGTGGCACTGCAGGGAGTGGCAGTGCAGGGAGGGTGGCACTGCAGGAGGGTGGCAGTGCAGGGGGGGTGGCACTGCAGGCAGTGGCAGTGCAGGGCGGGTGGCACTGCAGGAGGGTGGCAGTGCAGGGGGGGTGGCACTGCAGGCAGTGGCAGTGCAGGGCGGGTGGCACTGCAGGAGGGTGGCAGTGCAGGGGGGGTGGCACTGCAGGCAGTGGCAGTGCAGGGCGGGTGGCACTGCAGGAGGGTGGCAGTGCAGGGGGGGTGGCACTGCAGGCAGTGGCAGTGCAGGGCGGGTGGCACTGCAGGAGGGTGGCAGTGCAGGGTGGGTGGCAGTGTGAGCAGGTGGCAGTGCAGGCAGGGTGGCAGTGTGAGCGGGTGACAGTGTGAGCAGGTGGCAGTGCAGGCAGGGGGGCAGTGCAGGAGGGTGGCAGTGCAGGGGGGGTGGCAGTGTGAGCGGGTGGCAGTGCAGGGCGGGTGGCAGTGCAGGGCGGGTGGCAGTGCAGGGCGGGTGGCAGTGCAGGGCGGGTGGCAGTGCAGGGCGGGTGGCAGTGCAGGGCGGGTGGCAGTGCAGGGCGGGTGGCAGTGCAGGGCGGGTGGCAGTGCAGGGCGGGTGGCAGTGCAGGGCGGGTGGCAGTGCAGGGCGGGTGGCAGTGCAGGGCGGGTGGCAGTGCAGGGCGGGTGGCAGTGCAGGGCGGGTGGCAGTGCAGGGCGGGTGGCAGTGCAGGGCGGGTGGCAGTGCAGGGCGGGTGGCAGTGCAGGGCGGGTGGCAGTGCAGGGCGGGTGGCAGTGCAGGGCGGGTGGCAGTGCAGGGCGGGTGGCAGTGCAGGGCGGGTGGCAGTGCAGGGCGGGTGGCAGTGCAGGGCGGGTGGCAGTGCAGGGCGGGTGGCAGTGCAGGGCGGGTGGCAGTGCAGGGCGGGTGGCAGTGCAGGGCGGGTGGCAGTGCAGGGCGGGTGGCAGTGCAGGGCGGGTGGCAGTGCAGGGCGGGTGGCAGTGCAGGGCGGGTGGCAGTGCAGGGCGGGTGGCAGTGCAGGGCGGGTGGCAGTGCAGGGCGGGTGGCAGTGCAGGGCGGGTGGCAGTGCAGGGCGGGTGGCAGTGCAGGGCGGGTGGCAGTGTGAGCAGGTGGCAGTGCAGGGAGGGTGGCAGTGCAGGAGGGTGGCAGTGCAGGGCGGGTGCCCACGGGGCTGGCTGATGGAGCCCATCGAGCACAGCCTGCCCCATGTTGAGGTTTTTATGGAACATGGGTTTTCTTCCTGCTGTCAGCATCCACGGTTTCCAGCCATCCCCACCCCTGTCCTTGCCCCACGGTGACATTTCTCCTCTGTGCCACACCCTCTGCCTGTCCCCACGACCTTCTTTCACCCTCCACTCTCCCCCCATCCCACTGCCTTGCCCCATCCCATGCCTGCTGCTCCCAGGGCCCATTCCACCCTCAGCCCCAGAATGTGAGCCTTAGGTTCAACCAGGTGTATTAAATAAAACAAAACAAAAACCCTTTCACAGTCACACCCCTCCCCACACCCCCCCTCCCCAGGGTCTCCCTGACCCACTGGCAGTGTCACGCCGTGTCCCCCGCTGGCACGTGGAGCCGGTTGTTGTCCACGTCGATGTCCCCATCGAGCTGGAGGCAGCAAGCCTGGGAGCCTTCATCCTCCTCCTCCTCCTCGGTGGCAGCTCCGGGTGCCGGGGGCTCTCCGGTGCCCCCATTGAGGGGCACCTTCTCCCGGTGGCGGGACGGGGGGCTGTGGGGCGCGCCGCAGCCCCGCACCTTGCTGCGAGCCCTGAGCTGGTCGTGGCAGGCGAGGAGGGCCAGGCAGGCGGCCATGGCCAGCGTCATGGCCAGCAGCACGGCCACCGTGACAAACTGCGGCCAGTACGAGCCGGGGGCCGAGCCCTGCTCCGCCAGCCCATCCTCGCCAGAGTCCCCGAGCTGGTAGTGAGCCACGGTCCAGGTGTAGCCGTTCTCTGTGGCCTGGCACTTGTAGGTGCCGGCCATTCCCTGCTGCATGATGACCACCAGCGTGTGGTCAGGCTGCAGCACCGTGTGCCCCCGGGCACCGTCGGGCTGCTGCCAGCTGTAGGTGGCCAGGGCGGAGCGGCGGGGGCACGGCAGCTGGACCACGGCGTTCAGCGGGGGGCTGAGCCCTGTGGGTGTGGAGAACGGGGTGATGTGGTGTACCCCACGGGCCCCGTCCCACCCCATGTGTTCCCATACTCAACTCTGGACAGCGGAATCCTCTGGTGCCCCCCATGGATCCCATCCCACCCCACGTGCCCCATACTCAACCCTGGACAGCAGGATCCTCTGGTGCCCCCCATGGGCCCTGTCCCACCCCACGTGCCCCATACTCAACCCTGGACAGCAGGATCCTCTGGTGCCCCCCATGGGCCCTGTCCCACCCCACGTGCCCCATACTCAACCCTGGACAGCGGGGTCCTCTGGTGCCCCCCAGGAGCGGGGCATGGCTGCGCTCCTCCCGCGGTGGCACATGGTGACCGGGCTCCCCTTCTCAATGTCCTGCAGCCACGCACTCCTGCGGCCGGGAGAGCGGGGTCAGCACCCCAGTGACCCCCACACCCCTTCCCGTTCTCGTCCTGCTGCTCACGTGTTCTCAGTGGCGAGGCGGGCGGGCCGGCAGGAGCCCTCGGGGCTGTGCCAGGCGCAGTAGGGGTCCCGTGCCAGCACGCACTCGGCGCAGCTCCGGTGCAGGCTGCAGTTGGCCAGTGGGACCTGCAGGACGCCTCTGGAGTAGCCCACATAGAGGATGCCCTGGGGAGGGAGAGGTGCAGGGATGAGCCTCCCCCCGGTGCCGGTGTTGGATGGCTGTTGGTGTCTGGGTGGTCACACCTGCCCTACCTTCCCTGGCGCCAGCAGCAGGTTCCTCACTGGCTCTGGCACTGAAAAGAGCTGGATGCTCTCCACGATGTGGGCACCCCCCGACAGCTGCACTGCCTTGTGCAGGAAACCCTCAGCTGTGGGGCAGGGGGACATCGCTGAGGCTTTGGAGCCAAGGGGAGGGTGGGATGGGTGACCCTGTGTGCCCCCCCTATCACCCCACCTGTGGCCAGGAACATGACACGATACGGGGTCCCCTGCACACTGCGAGTCTCGTGCACTGTGATGCGCGTGTAGGTGACATCTGACTTCACCAGGAGAGGCTGCCCCTGCAGGGGTGACACCTTCCCGTCCATCAGGAAATGGTCCTTCATGAAGGAAAGGGCTTTGTCCGAGGAGGCACCCATGGAGCACTGTGGGGGGAGAAAGGGGTCTGTGCTGGTGTGGGAAACGGAGACACGGGGAGGGGAGGATGTGCTGCACCACCGCGCTGCCCTGGCCAGCACCAGCGGGGTGCAGAGGGACCCTTCTCCTCTCTCATCCCACCTGCAGTGTGGGCACACAGGGATACACAGAGCCCATTTCTTGGGGACCAGCGTTGTCCCCTGGCAAGTCCAGCGCCCCTGAGTGGGCAGCACTCACACTGCCAGGCCGGGGACTCATGTCGGGGCCACTGTAGACGGTCCAGCGAGAGCTCTCCTTGTTCAGCTCCTTGTACTTGCCCTCGAAGACCTCCTCCAGATCCTCCTGTCTGTAGGCACAGACGGCGGCGCTGCCCGCCCTGCCCGCCTGCCTGCAGGGAGGGACAGCCAGTGGGCAGCAGCAGGGCACGGGCCCCTGGGCTCCCTCACACCCCTGGGCACTCACCACTGCGAGGTGAACACTGCGTAGAAGTCGGCGCCGCCGTCGTGGCGGGGCAGGGCAAAGGCGTGGTGGATGACGTTGAAGGGGAAGCGGCCAGCCTGGGAGCACTCCAGCTGCGCCTTCAGGAAAGTTGTCCACTTCTTCTGCAGCACCTTGTCCCCCCCTACATCGCTCTGCAGGAAGGTGCTCGTTACCAAGGCGACAAGACCCCTTTGTCCCCTGTCACTGTCCCCACCATGATTGCCCATCAGAGTAAAACTATCATCCCCATTGTGGTCTCCCGTCATTGTCCCTGTCCCATTGTCTCCTGTCACATCATCATCATCATCCCCCATCGCTGTACCCCAACAGCAGCCCACCATCATTCCCTGCTCTCACACCTTGCACACACGGGCCACCCGTGGCACCAGGAGCCTCTCAAAGAAGTCGAACTCGTCCGCTGTCTCCTCGAAGAAGAAGTAGACCTTGTCATCCCCAGGGATGCTGAAGGAGGCCACGAAGGCGGCGTCGGCTACAGGCACAGGTGGGTGAGAAGCTGGAGCCATGGGGGGCTGCAGGCACCTCCCCAGGAACGCTCCCCAGTCCCTTCCCTCTGCTCACCTGAGAGCCAGCGGAGGAAGGCGTCTGTCTTGAGCAGGGTGCGGGTGCCCAGCGAGCGGGAGATGATGGGCTCGTTGCCCTGGAAGTTGTTCATGGTGCCAGCATAGAGCTCTCCGTCTGCCCAGGGACACAGCGGGGGCTGAGCCCTGGTGAGGACCCCCCACCCTCGCCCTCCACTCCATCCCAGGCACGGAGCCCACCTGAGAGGCCACTGGCCCCATACTCACCCACCAGCAGGGCCGTGTAAGTGTGCTGGGGATCGAAGGGGCACTGGCCCTTCCCGTCCAGGAAGGACTGTCCTCTGCCACTGGCCACCAGCGTGAAGTTCTCCAGGTGCTGTGGAAAAGGGGAGAAAAATCAGCCAAAGGACTGAAAACAACCCCAAATCTGTAGGGAATGATTGTGGAATACCTTGCAGACATAGGGTGGCCCATGTCTTCAAGGTGCGTGCAGGGATGATGACAGGGCCTGATGACAGAGGATGCTGGGGGTACCCGGCTCCTGTCACTTTCCCTCATTTTCATTTTGGGGAGTGGCAGTCCCCACCACGTGCTCAGCATGGAGGAAACTGAGGCAGGGACAGAGAGCCTGGAGTCACCTGAGGGGACCCAAAACCAGGTTTTCCCTGCCAGAGGAAGTGTTGCTGGCAGCTGAGTGAGAATCACCAAGGGCTCCTTTAGCAGATGGGACACAAAGATGTCCTTTGGGGGGGGGACACCCAGCACCCCCATCCTGGGGACCCCCATGATGCAGCTCACTTCTGGGGCTGTATTTTGTGGTTCCTCACAAGCAACACCACGGCCTGCCCAGAGACCCCCAGTGTGTTACCCTGGGGGGACACTCACAATGTAGGTGCACGCGGGGCTGAAGGCGTAGGTCCCACAGGCGTAGAGGTGGGTCTGGTTCAGGGCCACCAGGACTCGGATGAAGTTGAAGCACTCAGTCTGAGGGGGAAAGAGCAGAGTTGGGTGCTGAGCACCCTGGTAGCTTGGTGGGACCCCCTGAGCCCCCACAGGGCCAGCTCACCTCTTGGCTCTTCTTCTTGAAAGCACATTCAGAGGTTTTCTCATCTGTGGGTCCCCACATTATCTGCAAAGGGAATGAAGATGGTCCTGGGCTGTCGAGCCCAGCCCCACGGGGAAACTGCAACACAGCAGAGGCACCTCCCTCTCCCACCTCCCCAAAAGTGGTGCTGCTCACCGAGGCCTTGGCACGGATGCTGCCAGGGGTGCCAACAGCGAGGGCCAGCACCCAGTCGCGTGCCCCCACGTAGAGCTCCTCCTCGCTCTCACCCAGGAGGAAGATGTCATAATGGGAGACGTTGTCCTGGCTGAAGTGGGTGAGGGTCCGCCGGGGGTCCCCTGGCAGGAGCAGAGGGGGTGAGGGGAGCCCAGGGGTCACACATACCCCCCACCACCATCCCCATGTGCGGATGTGGCAGCAGCTGCCAGTGCAGCTCAGTTTATCTCTCACACAGGAAATGGGGTGCAGTTCTTCCCCTTCAGCTCCCACATCACCATCACCCCTTCACCCTCCAGGTCCCACTTCCCACTGTCCCCTCCAGCTCCTACTGCAAGAGCTGAACATGCCCAAGCTGCAGACCCTCAGAAATGGGGTGCATTTCCCCCCAAGCTGTGCCTGCGATGCTTTGGGACCATAGCCAAGGGTAGTGCTCTGTTTGGGGGATGCACTGCCCCAGGGTGCCACTCTAGAGGGATTACAAGCCCCCGAGGTGCCAGACTGGGGGGGTCACCAGCCCCCAGGGTGCCCTTGGGCACAGCCAGGGACTGCAGATTCTCGTTCATCCCCAGCAGGCACCGAAACTGGGGGATTTTTGCAATTTTGGGCATGGCTGCACGGGGAAAGGGAAGTGACAGCGCAGTCAGGGCTGTAAAGGCACGACCCTGCCCTGGGGCACAGACCCTCCTGCAGCCCGACTGCCACAGCACAGCCCCCCAAGCTCCTGCTTTGCCACCTGCCTTCCAGCTGGACATGCCATGCCCTGGCCCTTCCAGAGGCAGCTTTTCATCCCCCCAGGGTGACCCTGAGCAGACCCGGCTGCCAGGTGGGTGACAAAACCACTGTAGGACCTGGCCCATTGGGTGCTGGGGTGCCAAGCAGCCTCATCTACTCTCACCCCCCACCACATCACCGGCTGCCACTGGCGCTGTCCCCAACCCCACCGCGGGTCAGTGATGGAGCAGGGGGGGCTACCATGGGGGGCACCCCAAGGTTCCCGGTGCTGGATGCTCAGCCCTAGGGATGGACACTGTCCCACGCAGCGTACCCCCCTCCCCAGCTGACCCAGCTCTCCCCGGGGCCGTACTCACCGCTGGGGAAGGTGACGCGGGGCAGGGGCTCCGCGCAGAGCAGGGCAGCCGGCACCACCACCCCGCAGAGCAGGCGAAGGGCGGCGGGCATGGCGGGGGGCGGCAGGGGCGCGCCCCACGAGGGTCCCACCACCATCCCTGCGGGGAGGGCGAGGGTGAGGGCACACGCTGCTGGGCTGCGTGTCACTTCACCCGGCGGAAACAAGACGGGGGAAGCAGCACCCGGCAGAGGGGTGGGGGATGGGGGGGGTGCCTCCAGCCCCACGTGTCCCCCCCAGGTTGGGCACGAACTTCCCCCTGTCACACCGGCACTCAGAGAGGTCCCCTCGCCCTGCCGAGCTCCTGCACTAAAATCTCTGCTACAGAGACGTGCCCTCACCCTCTGGGCTCCTGCATCAAAATCTCTGGCACAGAGATGTCCCCTCACCCTTTGGGGCTCCTGCATCAAAATCTCTGGCACAGACAGAGATGTCCCCTCACACTCTGGGGCTCCTGCACTAAAATCTCTGGCACAGAGATGTCCCCTCACCCTCTGGGGCTCCTGCACGGGACCTCTGCACAAAGGTGTCCAGAGGCTCCTGCCTTTGCCCCCAGAGCCTCAGAGCCCCTATCCCTATCAGGGATTCCTCTGCCTGGCTCCATCAGTTATCAGAGCGTCCACAAAATGGGGGGGGAACACACACGGGAACCCCCTTTTGCAGCTCTTTCTGCAGCTGATGCCAGAAGCACCGGGGAAAGAGCCACGTCTGCAGAACCTGACGGTGCCCAGGACCCCTCTGCCGATGGCCACCTTGTCCCCAGCGGGTGACATTACCTCTCTGGCGGGCGAGGACAGAGCCGCTCACCTCCAGCCCTGGCGCGGGGGCACCGGGCAGGTGCCCGAGCCCCGGGGGCTGCGGCCACGCGTCTGCCGTGGGCCCATGCCCCGGAGCCGGCTGCTGCCGAGCTCCCGGCCCGTGCTGGGCTCGCTGCAGCCCGGCCCAGCCCAGCCCAGCCCTGCGTGGCTCCGCCGGGACTGCGGGAACCTGAAAGTCCTGCTGGAAGAGGACGAGCCCCGGCAGGTTGGGGCAGTGGGCGCCTGCGCCTGCCTCCCCTGCCTCGCACCCCCGCACGACAGCAGCGAAGCCTGGTGGAAGCAGCTGGGATGGGAACCAGGGAGCTCTGCTGCTCCAGGGGGTGACTTGGGGGACAAAGGTGTGCCCAGATGGCCGGCTTTGCTTGCTAGGGAAATCTTTGGGGTGAGGGACGCGATGGGATTTGTCCTGTGGATTGTGCGGGCCAACAGCAGGCCTGAGCATCATCCCCAAAACCAGCCCCACGGGGACAGGCATCACCCAGAAAACCAGCCCCCAGGGGGGAGCAGTGCTCCCCACAAACAGCCCCAGGGGGCACCCCCATAAACAACCCCATGGAGCTGAGCTTCACCCCCACAAAGCTCCTGCAGCTATTCCAGGAACCCATTTCCCTGGAGATTCCATCCTTAACCCCAGGCTGCTCTGGGATGGTTGTAGGCAAGAAACCCCCCAAAGCCAAAGCCCTGGAGCTGCTCGAAATCAGAGCCACACCTGAGGTACCCCAATATCCCTGTGGACACGGCTGAGGAGCATCCCACCCTGCTGGGGCCTCCTTACCTGCCTCTCCCATGCCCAGAGCAGCCCAGCGGGACATGGAGCCCCGGGAGGGCAGCGCTGTGCTCACCACCTTGCTTGGCTGGGACAGAAGCTCCTTGTGAGCACAGAAAGTAGGTTACTCTGCCCCGGATTTCCCACTTGGCAGAGGGCTGCCTGGGGGACGGGGCCGCACGGAGCCTTGGACCGGCCGCATTGTTCTGCCCTGGGCCACAGCCACCGAGGCTGAGGGGGGATGGAAAAGGGAGCAGAGGCTCCTCGGCGAGGCTGGAGGCTTGACTGGGGCTGTGGTGGGGCTGAGGAAAACCGCCAGTGTTCCCCAGCGTGAGCCAGGGCTGACACAGGAGGTGAGGTGACAGCAGCCTCCAGGCTGCTCCGGCAGCGTGGGAAGCTGCAATCCCTTCTCAGCCTCATCTCTCCTCTGTTTTGGGTCCCCTGGTCACGTTGGTCTGGGGACATGGTGGGGGGATGTAATTTACAGGGTCCCTGTATAGGATTTGGCACACGGGAGGGGGACCAAGGGCCTCTCAACACTGGGGTGGCTCAGTTTCCCCTGGTGCTTTCAGGCTGACCACAGCTGTGGCTTCATGGGTCTTGCTCCTGCTTGGATCTCCTCCTGGAGGATCCCTCTAAGCCAGGAACATTGTGCTGTCAGCGAACACTCTCCCTGCACAGAGCACAGCACCTGCCACAGGATGGAGCCAGGCCCAGCCCTGGTGCCCAGCAAGGTGGGCTGTGAGGGACACAGGGCAGGGGTGGAGCTGGTGGCACTGATCTGCCAGCTGCTCAGACGTTCCCCGTGCCTCAGTTTCTCACAGCAGAGAAGAGTTTGGTCCTTCTCTGCAGCTGGGCTCCAATGCCCTGCCCATGTCACGTCCCAGGAGCATCCCCGTGGTGTGGGGGGTGCAGGAACGCTCCCAACACCACGAGGGGCTGGGGCAGCTCGGCCTGGGGAAGGCCCGAGGTCCAGAGCAGGATCCAGAGCAGGGGGCGTGGGTGGGAGATGGAAGGCAAGGGAGGAAGGGGTGCACTAAGGGCATGGGAGGATGAAGGGGGGGAATTTGGGGGGTGTAGGCAAGAGGAGATGGGAGATGATTGTGTGGATGGGGTTGTTTGACACAAAGGGTGGGGAGAGCTGGGGGGTGCAGGTAAGAGAGAGGAGGATGTGCAGGAGGGAGCTGAGGGGTGCAGGAGGTGTGGAGGGGTGCACAGGAGGTAGGGGAAAGGGAGGGGTTTGGAGGAATGTGAAGGCAGGGGGTGCGGGGGGCACCGGGGGGCACCGGGGGTCTCCCCAGGGCCGACACATCAGCCTCTTTGTTGCTGCTGGCAGCATCAGCGCTGGGGGTCCCCCAAGCCCAACCCCACTATGGCGACTTCCCCCTTCCCGCTCGACCTCCCGTCCCCCGCGGAGCCTCCCCAGACCCCCTGGGGCCCCCCGGCCGCCCCCGGCCCCGGTGGCGGTGCGGCGGTACCGACCTGCGGCGGGCGGGCGGGAGCAGCATCCCCCGGCCCCGCATCCGGCTCACGTCGCCATGGCTACGGCTGCATCTCGGCCGTCCGCGGCCCCCCCGCACCGACAGACCCTGACGGACGGACACGGGGCTGCGGACCCCGAGACCCCCCGCACGGCACACGAGTGGGCGCTACCTCCCCTTGCCCCACACACCACCGACCCCCACCCCCAGGAGGGGCAGGAACACCCCTCTGCCCCCACGTGTGTTACATCCTCTCCTGACCCGTTCCTGTGCCCCCATAACTGCATGGGGGTCCTTCATCTCGGCTGAGCTCTCAGCTTTTGGCAACAAGTCCCTGCACCCCCATCTCAACACCTCCAGATCCAGACCCCATCCCTGCATCCCATCCTCACATCCCATATCTGCACCCCCACACCCACATCCTATCCCTGCACCCCCAGACCCCATCCCTGCACCCCCAGACCCCATCTCTACACCCCCAGACCCACACCCCATCCCTGCACCCCCAGACCCCATCCCTGCACCCCCATTCCTGTCTCAGCCCTCCCACTTGACCCATCCCAGGGGGGTGCTGCTGGCTCTGGCTTCCCATGCTGTGTGGATTTGGGGGGTCCCAGGAGGAGGCTTGGGGTGCAGCCGTGGCACCAGGCTCTGTGTGTGTGTCCCTCCCCCCCCCCCCCCCCACCAGCATCCCCAAATTTTGGTTTATGGCATTTCCCCCTTGGAATTTCCCTTGCAGAAAGCCCAGCCTAGCTGGCGCTTGCAGACCTCACTTCTCCTGTGGAACTTGCTCCCTTCCCCTTCCCAGCTGGGTGAGAATGAATCTGAGCCCCAAAACAGGATCCGCTGCCACCACTTCCTGCCCCCTCTGCAGCCACCTTCCCTGCATGACCTCAGCCTTGCACAAGCACTGGAGAGGTGCCAGCACTGCTCCAGCTGGGGTGCAGCATCAGCACCCACAAAAGCCTCAAGCCTGCAGCAGGCCTGGGGTACCTGCCCTGCCAGGGCTGGAGAGCAGAGCCAAGAGCCCCCGCAGCTCCCAGGCTTTGGGAGGCTGGAGCAGGGATCTGGAAAGAGCCCTCGTGCCCACCAGCACTGGAGCCTGCTCTGGAGACTCCTCAAGGCTGAGCTGCAGCCCCTCAGCCCTGCCTGGACACCCCCAGCGTGCCCTGGGGGGGTTCCTATGACCTGCAGCACGTTGGGGTGCAGCTCTGGGGGGTAGCAGTGGGCACAAACTCACATCTCAACCCCCCTTGGGATTAGCTTGACCTTAATCTCCCCGGGCACGCAGGGGCCTGGGGGCTGGTGTGGGGCTGGCAGGGCCCCCAGCACCCACTGAGCCATGCCCTGGTGCCTTGCCAGACACTGGAGTCAGTCCCAGCTCTGCCCCATCCCAGTGATTGCTCCAAGGCTTCCTGTGCTGGACTTTCCCCCCAAAAACCTGGTGGTCCTCAACATGTGCCCAAAGCCCGGTGCTGCTGCCTACCCAGGGTGCCTCTGAGAGACCCCAGCATTCAGCACACCAGAGAGCAAGGCCAGGCCATGGCCCTGCTCTGGGACCCCCTCTCCCTCCTGCCACACTCTGGGGGAGCCAAGGCAGGGCTCAGATCCGTGGGACAGCAGGAGGAGAGGGACAAACCTGACCTTGAGGCAGTGCTTTGGCTGGAGAAGGACTGGAGCTGTTTCACAGGCTCTTTTCAAAGTCCATAGGGGTGTGGGGACCCTGCACAGCTCCCCCTGGGCTGTGCAGGGTCCCCATGGGCTGCACGTGGCTCCACAGGGATGTGAGAGGTCCCTGGGGGAGTGCATGGGCCCCATGGGGCTCTGTAAGGAGCCCATAATGTCAGCATCGTCCCCTGGGGGCTGTGCAGAGACCCCATGTGGGTCTGTAAGGAACCCAACACGTCTGTATTGTCCTTACAGGGCTGTGCACACACCCCATGTGGATCTGTAAGGAACACAACACGTCTGTATTGTCCTTACAGGGCTGTGCACACACCCCATGTGGATCTGTAAGGAACACAACACGTCTGTATTGTCCCCTGGGGGCTGTGCAGAGCCCCCA